TCACAGCGCATCAAAACTTTTGTCAAGCAACAAATACAGTGCCATCAGCAATGTGCACACCAGTACTTGAACATACATCAGGTCAAAAGCATACAAAACAACGTACCTGTCGGCGTCATCCACTGTGAAGATCATCACCCAGACCGACTCACTTGGTACTGCCCCCAGCTTTACCGCCGACCTAGACAGCCCAAAGGCTTGATTTTCAAGCGTTCTGCAGTGGAATCCATGCGAAAGCTTCACTGGCCCGCGAAAGCATCATGAGTCCGCGAGCCCGCGAGCATAGATCCAGGTGCATGCATGCATGCATGGCAATGCAACCAGCATGCCACGTTGAACCAAAAAAAGTATTATATATATATATATGTATAGATATATAACAGTTATACTAAAAAAAAAACCTTAGGAGGGTTTAGGGTTGGGGTCTGGGCAAGTCGAGGTTCTTTTGTCTAGCAGGGCTTGCAGCTTGGAGATGCAAAGGGTACATGGCAGGGGCAGGAGTCTTAGGGTTTAAGGGGGTGTAAAGTTCGGAAGGGGGAATTCTAAGGCAGGTTTTTTTGGGCGAGGTTTCTCCTGAGTTCTACCTTTGAGGAGTCTGTGAGGCTTTCAAACTTCTTGGGGCTTGCTTGTCTGGGTTCTGGTTAACATTAGTGCGTACAGGCTGGGGTCTTCGGGCAGGGCTGCCTTCGAATGGGTGAGGAGTGAGTTGGCGGGTGCCCCTATCCGAAACCCTTAGAACCCTGATGTCCCTTTAAAACCTATAATGCCCCGAACCCTAAAATAGAGTTGAGCGCATTCTTGGCTTAAGAGAATCGCCAGCCACAACAGTACATTTAAGACCCTGAGGCAAACCACAAAGTTTAACCCCCAGCAAACCTCAAAGCTAAACCCGAAACCCGACAAACCCAAAACCCCACGCCCAGCTTCCAACAAGGCCAATTTCCAAACTGGAATTCCCGAAGCAAAGCCCTCTTCGACCGAAGCCAAACCCGAACTCCAAACACCTTAAGCAACTAAAGCCTATAGAAGCCTTTAAGCCCTGAAACCCAACTTTAAAAGTAAAAAAGATCGGTCCCTTTCTTCCGGGAGCCCTTCGTGCTCACTCCGCCGGCTCCTGAGAAAGCGGTGCGGGTTCTTTGCTTTTGAAGCCTCCCCCAGCCCAGATGTTTCTAATAAGCTGCGATACCGCAGCAACGTCACGGTGTCCATTGTTCTTGCGTGTGTCCTGCTGGCGATTTTCCCAATCTCTTTCATGTAGTCTTCCTCTTGGTAGAGGTGGTCGAAAGCAGGGTTCCGTTTCTCGATCGGCAACCTGAGAACAAGATGAAGCAAACAATGAAACTTCGGGACGATGTGGTAAAGGTGTTGGCCGGCATGTCGACTTTGACAAGCAAGGGCCTGGTAAAGGATCAAGAAGTTCCGTCCAGCTGCTGACATTGCTTCGGCGACATCGCTGGTAAGCCAAGCTCCGTGAAGGTCTTGTAGGTGTTGAAAATGAGCCAAGCTGTATGCCGCGTCCGCGCGCAGGCAGCTCGAAGGATCCTTGCAGTCCATGTTTTCACGTAGGAAAGCTGCGCACCAAAAAATGAAGGTCTTCACACACGCGGCTTTATAGCACGAGCCCAATTCGGGATAACTCTTCCAGCTTTCGCGATTGAAACGAGGAAGGTTAAAGGGCATGGAACTCGATGCCATCTCTTTGTGGTCTCGGCACCAAGACTTGTAGTGGGGCCAAGCATCAGTTTGAAGAAGGCGCTCCAGAACACCCAACGTCAGAGATCCTCGAAACAAGTCCTCGTAGTGGTGGGAAATAAGAGATGCTACAGCATGTTGCCCAACACCTTGATGGACAACATGTAGCATGTCCTTTGAAGCTGCGATTGTTGTGTTGTAACTGGAGCCTACATAACAGTACCAACAAGCTTCAAAATAAAACAATAAGGGAACCCTAGAAGGCCCAGGCTCATCCAGGTTCCGGTCTTTGTCCCATCCTCGCACATGCACCCACGAAGACTGCTTGTCTGGTGGGTTCAGGATCAAAAACTCGCTGTGGGTGAAGAAGTGCTCCAAATAGAGCGCGTTCTCGGTGAAATCACCAAACGTGAAGGGGGACCCCGGCTTCCTTGATGCCAGGCAGTGCTCGCAAATTGAGTAGCTGCTCCAGTTTCGCACGAGTTTGTGCACGAGCACTCGTGCCTCAAGATCAGCTTTGAATGCAGCAAACGCGCACTTCCAGCCGCCGGCGAATTGCTTGCCAGCCATCTTCGCCTCGCGGCTTTGCCGGGGCCAGGGTTTGCCATTCATGTCGGTTGAGGGATATAAACCAGATCGAAGGACTTCCATGCACCATGCGATGAAAAGGCCCACGTCGTCGTGGGTGCCAGGCTTCGTCATGTCGTGCTCCCTGAAAAGGAGTGTCAGCATCTTGGTGTCCAACGAGCGGCCCTTGCGCACAGCAGGGGCGAAGCTGTACACCCAGGCCTTCTGAGATTTGTATATGCGAACTCCATCGGTGTGCCAAGTGATGGGAACGGTGCTGCCCCAGTCCTCCTCACGAAGCTCGAGCTTGCTGTAGAACGGGAGGTGTGCAACGTGCTGCCAATATTCCTCGGCAACAGGGCTCACAATATGCTGACAATTTAAGCTACTGCCACTGACAATATGCTGACAATGATCCATTTCCGATTTGTGCTTGCATCCATGCATGCAGGGGCGGCATGCGCTAATCCATTGCATTCGGGTTCGTGGGTTACAGGAACCCCAACCCCTAACCCCCATTATAACCCCTAAACCCTAAACACTGAACCCTAAACCCTAAACCCATATGTTTTCCAGACATGCAATCAAGACTCAGAGCATTTGTAGCTCGCAAGGGTCGGCGGGTCGTAGACGCAGGTCAGCAGCTTGTCCCGTTTCCACAAGTGATTTAGTATATCCCAAGGCCACAGCACAGCATGGGGCTCAGACTTGACCACTGTTCCAGTCCCACATTCAAGTTCCACTTTCTTCGTCAGTTTGATGGTGCCGGGCTGAATGTCGCATTCCCTCGCACACCACCTCTAGTAGGTCACCAAAGCAATACCCTAAACCCTAAACCCTAAAGTCCCTAAACCCTAGACCCTAAACCCTAAAACTTATACATAAACCCTAAACCCTAAACCCTAAACCTTAAACCCTAAGCCCTGAGCCCTAAACCCTAAATCAAAACACCAAACCAAAACCGGTTCAAAAAGCTTTCATGAATGCAAGCAAGAAGCCTTTCATAAGATCGCTCACCATGCTCTGAATTACCCCATTCAGCCAGCAGTGCAGCTAGCTTGCAAGTACTGCCATCCAGAATAGCCGACGCAGCACTTCGACTTCCTTCTGCAACGGATATCGCCTTCAGGGGGCCGGATACAATACGGGGCTCAGGATTGTTTTTCATGGTTTATCATTTTTCTCAGGAGAAACGGTTTCCAAGCCCCTGCCCCGCTGCTCATCTGGTGGAACGTCCGCAGAGCAGTGGTAGAAGCATGGTCAAAAAGTTCACGAAGTCCTTCTAGGGTCCGAACCCTTACAACTGAAAACCCCTGCAACTCGAAACTTAAACTGAAAACCCTGCAGACCCTCTAAACTCTAAACCCATAACTTTAAGCCCTCCACCTGTATACATGTCTTTACTCGGTCCAAATATATTGGGGTCTACAGCTGTTCTGCCCTTCAAAATCCCAGAGCCGCGTAATCCAAAAACACCTACAATTAGTAAACCGGGGGTTTAGGGTTTAGGGTCTGGGGTCTGGGGTTTAGGGTTAGGGTTTAGGGTTTAGGGTTTAGGGTTTAGGGTTTCGGGTTTCGGGTTTCGGGTTTAGGGTTTAGGGTTTACAGATAAGGGTTTACATCTTAGGGTTCACAGTTTAGGCTTTTGAGTTGAGGGTTAAGGGTTTTTGGTTTCAAGCTTGCGGTGCAAGGCCTGGTCTGCGCGAAGGGGTCCTGGACCTGGCAGAAGTCCGGGACACAGATGGGTGGGCCGATCTTGAAGAGGTTGACGGCCTGCGGGCAGGGAATGATTTGGAGTTAAACTGAGAACAACCCATGTCCACTTTCGCAAAAGAAGTTGCTGGGTTTCCAGGGTTCTTTCTTCCTTTCTTCGCGTGGCGGCATGTGACCCTTGTGGATCGTGCACACATCGGCGCAGCCGGACATGAATAAGTGATACTGGCTGGAGTATGAGAGATCGGATTGGAGCCTAGCTAGCTGGCTTCTAAAGCTGTACTTTGTGTTACATGCTACAAGGCGCACACAGATACAGGCATGCGACTGCACGTCCTACTTTCCCAAGTATACTCCACGTGCGCTGTAGGAATTCCCACAGCATGCAGACGCATGTGCGTCATCGCTCGATCCAGACACCTCTAGTCGATTGCTACCCACACATGCAGCCGTGATTTCACAGCTGCAGCTCCACCCCGCAACCGGTAGTGCCCGACGATTTAAGCAACGGCCCATATGCATGTGCCAGGAACTTCAAGCTTTGTCTCGACCCATCGACCCTGTAGAGGCTTAACCTCATGCATTTCCCGGCACACGCATGAAGCCACAAAACTTTACGGCTTCGAGGCATCCTCAGCGCTCGCTGCGCCTGCCTTCGACACGGGTGCCGCCTCGGCCTTAGCCTTCGCCTTGGCTTTCGGATTGGCCGACTTTTCAGATGCCCTCACCAAAGCCTTGCCCAGCTCGATGTGCTCCCTCGCTTTCTCTCTCAGCTTCTCCACCTGGGAATGATTTGTTCAGGTTTGAGTATTGTTATTTCGAGAGGTAAACTTGGGATGTAAGCTTTGGGGTTCACCCTTTCTTTGTTTGTTTTTTGAGGGGGGGGGGGGGGGGGGGGGGCGGGTCTTAAGGAGATCCCAATCCCAGCCCATCGATCCTCGGAGACAGGGGTCTCATAATACTTGTGCTTGTTCTTCTTCGCCTTGACCAGCTTCTGAATAATCTCGGCCTGCTCTTTCAAATTGCTGGCAATTCCATTCAGCTGCTGAAGCAAGGTGGAGGACATCTGGATGGGCTTCAGCTTGAAGGCCTGCAACCTCAGCTCAGTGAGCCAACTCAATTGTGATTTTGCAGATATCATAATTTCTGCACATGCATGCGCGCAGTCTGAGCTCTGCACGTGCACTGGTTGACATCAGTCATGATCGTGTTGAGCAGCGTCTTTGCTCTTCCAAGCGGAGTGATTGGCTCGACCTGAGGCGCGACCACTATGCAGCGATTCGACTTGCGGGTGTCATGCCTGGGTCCTGGTTCCTTACAAGCAGCACGCATGCATTCACAGGAGGCCTCCTTTGCCTTCGGTGACTTCTCACCCTTGTCACCTTGCTTGTTCCTCTTGTTGTTCTGCTTCGCATCTTTCGAAGATCCCGAAACCTTGCCCATCATCTCCGCACCATCGATTGGCCCGCCCTTGAAATCCAAGATCTTGAGGTTGGCCCTCGGATCCAGCACGCCGCCGCCCTGAGGAGAAGGCATGCTTTGAGGTCCGACATAAGGAAGCCCAAAGTACCCACTCCCTTTTGAGGGCCTTAAACTGCAAACCCTCTAAGTTCTAAGATCGGGCTTGGAAAGCCAGCCGCAGAAGCACAGCCATAACTTAATAAACCATTCATGTGGGAACCCCAAACACCCTAAACCCTAAACCCAAACCCTAAACCCTAAACCCTAAACCCTAAACCCTAAACCCTAAACCCTAAACCCTAAACCCTAAACCCTAAACCCTAAACCCTAAACCCTAAACACCAGCACAGTGCAGTCGCGCTCAGTTGCTCAGACTCAAAGAGATAGCGCCGAGTAAACCTTTAACCCTAAACCCTAGACCCTAAACCCGAAACCCGAAACCCGAAACCCTAAACCCTAAACCCTAAACCCTAAACCCTAAACCCTAAACCCTAAACCCCATACATACATTTGCAACTTTGCCACAAGTCGGCCCTGCAAGACTCATGAGTGCAAGAGCCCAACTCCTAACCCGAAGTTGAGGGTCTAGGGTTTAGGGTGTAGGGTTTAGGGTTAAAGGTTTATAGGGTTTAGGGTTTAGAGTTTAGGGTTAGGGTTCAGGGTTTAGGATTTAGGATTTAGGGCTAGGGTTTAGGGTTTGGAGTTTGGGGTTGAGGGTCTAGGCTGTTTGGTTTGGATCGGCCTTGATGAACTCTTTGAGACCATCTTGATCGATGCCACCAGAGATCTCCAGAGAGGTCACCCGTTTGACCTCCGAAGAGTCGGTGAAGTCTAAGTTGACCAAGCAAAAGAACAACACCTCGTCGCTGTCCGGAAGCTCGGGGTCGGGGATCGTCCTGCCCGCGCACGCGTGCACATCGCGTACCCCGCACAGGATGCTTCATGATGCTTTATAAACAAAAACACAAGACATGGTAGTGAGGACAAGCGGCAGGCCCAAGGATCTCTTCTTCGCGATGAGTTTTTTCCGCTTTCTTCTCTCCGTGTCTGTCAATCAGCCATTTTTCTGGCCGGAATCCCCATCTCGTTGTGCTGCCCTTCTTTGCGGTGTGGTTCTGCTCGAATCTACAGATCATCTGCTCCACATCGCCGCCCATCTCGACGTAGGATGCAAAGAGCTGGTCGTGAGAATCCTACGATAGAAAGCTTTGATTTTATTCTAAGAGTTCGCTCTGATCGAAAAGGAAAACAAGCATACTCCATCATGTGTCCTTGGTGGCCAGGGCTGCTTGCAGCTTGGCCGGGAAGCGCTTCTTGCTGCGGGTCCACCTCTTGAATCGGGCATACTCTTTCCGGTGGCTGCTGCTGTTTGGCAGGCCACGTGCTTCTACACTGGCAAGTTTCTTCTTGGTCTTCTTGTCTTTCGCCTGCGTGACCAATGTTCGTTTTATTACATATATAACTCTAGCTATAGCATGCACTCATGAGGATCGATCCTTTGGGCTCGCCGCGGACGCATTATCATCATCATCGTCAGCATCATCACGTTCCTCAGTCAAAATGGCCGTCGCTTGTCCTACCACAGAAAAATATGTATGTGTATCAGACCCTTGACAGCAACCACGGGTCTGGCTCTTTTCTCTTCTTGGAGCTTTGCACGGGGTTCTTCTTGGGCTTCACCTCGTCCTTCTCCGATTCCGAGCTGTCCTGGGGCTCAGCTTTCTTCTTTGCTATCTTTGAGGATCCTTTCCGGCGCTGCACCTCCTCTTCTCTGGCCACTGTATCCTTCTCCTCATCCTTGTTCTTGTTCTTCGCAGATCCTTTCTTGGGCTTCACCTTGTCCTCTTCCGACTCTGTGTCCTCGTCGCTCTCTTGCGCCTTCTTGTTCTTCTTGTGCCCTTTCTTGTGGTTCACCGCGGCCTCCCCTGTGTCTTCACTAGAGCCCGGCTTGCTTTTGCCAGGGGTTGCAAGAACTTTGCACTTCACCGCGTTCTCCTTGGTGCCTTGGTTTTGAGCTTGCTTCTTCCTAGGCGTTGCGGGTACGTTGTTGGGCTGCGACCCCTCACTGTTCTCGTCGGACTCCTCTGTTCTTTGCTTCCGCGTCCTTGCTCCGGATCCTTTCTTGGGCTTCACCTCGTCCTCATCATCCTGCGACTGCTCAGAGCGCTGCTTCTTGGTTGACTTTGCGGATCCTTTCCTGGGCTCCTCCGGGACGACCTCATCTTCCGACTCGTCCTTCTCATCCTCAGCATTAATCTTCTTCTTCTCGGCCTTTGTAGATCCTTTCTTAACTTTCTTGGGCTTCACCTTCTCCGCTTCCGCTGATGACTCAGACTCTGTGTTCTCATCGCTTTCCTCAGCAGTCTTCCTCTTGGCTTTTGCAGACTCCTTTTGCTTCTTCGTCCTTCCCGTTGCGGATCCTAGCCTGGGCTTAGCATCGTCCCCGGGCTCGTTCTCATCGCTTTCCTTAGCACACTGCCTCTTGATGCGTCCTTTCGCCTTCACCTCGTCCTCGTCTGAGGAGTCAGACTCATCCTTCTTCTTGGCGCGCTTCGTTGTCGTCTGGATGAACTCGGGCTCTGACTCGTTCTCCTCGGACTCCTTCTTCCTGTTCATTGTGGCCTGTTTGGATCCTTTCTTCGGCTTGGCGTTGTCCCTGCGGGTCTCGTTCTCCTTGGCAGTCTTGTTCTTCTTTCTGGCCTGTGAAGAAGTCGCCTCGTCTTCCGACTCGTCCTTCTCATCTTCAGGATTAACCTTCTTCTTGCTGGCCTTTGCAGATCCTTTCTTGGGCGCCTCCTCCTCTGACGACTCGTCGCTCTCATCGGACTCAACACATAGCTTAGCGGATCCTTTCTTGAGCTTCGCCTCGTCCTCTTCCGACTCTGTGTCCTCGTCGACCTCTTGCTGCAGGGCCTTCTTCCTGGATCCTTCTTCGCGGGGTTCCTTCCTGTTCCTGCGGCTGTTCTTTCTGGATGGCTCCGCCGGCTCCTCCCGTTTCGTCCCTTCATTCTTCTTGCTCTTCGAGGGCGTCTCCAAAAAGTTCTGCGGAAGGTCGTCCTCCGATTCGCTGCTTTCCTCGGACTCGACCTCGGACTCATCCTCATCCCTCTTCTTGCTTGCCTTTGCAGATCCTTTCTTGGGCTCAGCCTCCTCCTCTGACTCCGACTCGGTCTCGGGGTTGTCTTCGCTCTCGTCAGCTTCCTCGTCCTCGGTGTGCTCGTCGGACTCAGAGCACGATTCGGCCTTCCTGGCCGCAACTCCGCTGAGGGCTTGCTTCACCTCCTTTTCCCTCGCGCGCGCAAGCTCTTCATCCACCTGCGTATCCATTTCATCCGGCCCACTCTTCTTGCACTTTCCCTTCGATCCATCGTCGTCGTCCTCCTCCTCCTCTGGCTCTGTGTCACTGGGCTCGCTTTCCTCGTCAGAGCTGGGGAGCTCCACATCACTTCGATTCTTGCGTTGCTTCCTCCAAGACCTGATCACACGATCGACCTCGGAGTCGGTGGGTTCCTGCCATTTGCAAGACATGTACCATGTACTAGATTCATGATTAACGTCTTAGCTCGTAATCTTTCCTCCCGGCGCTTAGCCGCAGCCTGGCATTTCTTTTCGTCTTGTCTCAATCTATGTATATATATATATATATGTATATATATTTTTAACTTATATCTATATTTGCTTATTCATATTTCTATGTATTTGTATATTTACATTTATATTTGTATTTACATTTATGTTTCGGTTTATATTAATAGTTAAATTTATATTGATATGTATATTCATATTCATATGTATATTTATATTTCTTTTCATATTTATATTTAGATTTAGATTTCTATTCATATTTATACTTAGAGAGAGAGGTGTGTGTTTATTATACATATATATATGTATATGATAATTGTGTGTATACATATATGTATAGCGTACTTTTCTGATTCATTTTTTCATGTAATATAATTATACATTCTCTGATATGATATATGCTATGATATGACATAAAAACATATATGTAAATGTAGGTGCAATATATATATATATATATATATCTTATGCATGTATATATATATATATGTGTGTGTGTATGTCATGTATATTATATCTATATATATATATATGTATCTATCTATCTATGTGTTTTTCTCAACATAGTGTATATAATATCATTATACATAAACTTAAAATCATACCTGAAAGCGATATAAATATGTGTATGTTTTATATGTGCGTGTAATTATGTTACTGATACCATTATTCTTCTGTTACTATTGCCAGTACGATTAGTACTTATTATGATGATGATTATGATGATTATGATTATTATCATTATTATTATTATATTATTCGTATTAGTAGGATTATTCTTTTAATTCTTATTGTTACTATTATTGTTATTATCATTACAATTCTACTTAGTTCTTCTTCTAGCATATATATATATATACAACATATATATATATATATATTACACATATAAATTCTACTTCAAGCATTTACCAACATCACGCCGGCCTGAGCAGAACCATCCTTCATGGGCTTCCCTCTGTTCAGCTTTGGCTTTTCCTCCTCGCAAAGCAAAACACCACATCTCGATCCAACATCACGCATGCACCCATGCATGCGCTAGCGTGCACTTGCGGTCCTGCGCGCACGCGCGGTCCTGCGGATCTTTCGGCGGGGTGCTGGGCTTCCGAGGCTTGTTTTCGGCTTCGATGTCGTGCGTGGTCGGCGATCCAAATGAAAGCTTCCTGGCCACCATCGCAGGCGGGGCGCCGACTGCCTTCAAGATCGACTCGGGCGTTTTGGTGGAGGATGTCGCTGTCGATGGGGTCGCACACTTCCCTTCTTTCAATGCTTTGGCCACTTTCTTAAGCTTCTTGGGGTCCGGGCTTTTTAACATGCTCTCACACGGTGGCACCTTTTGTCGGCACCTCTTCAGCTGAGCATCACCTTCGCGGTTTGCTTTCGGCATGGCGGCTACCGGGCACAAAATGTGCGATGTCGAGGCCTGGAGGATAAAATACACCAAGGAGCATCGATCACAGGACGTCACACAACCCACAGGATCGTGAAAGGTGCAATTTCGGATGCATGTGCCATGGTGGCAATCTGAAAGCTTCATTTTCGAAAGCCAGGCTCATCAGCTGCTGCTGGAATTTCCAGCAGATTAATGCTAATTTGGGTGCCGATTTGAGTGGCACCAGAATCCATGAATTTTCACGCTTTTTCACGCTTTTTTCACGTTTTCTACGGTTTCACGGGTTTTTTGGGGGTCAGCACAAAACTGAAAAAAGCATGCAACAGCTCCTAAACTGCAGATGGATCGCTGCGAACCTGCTTCAGTCCTTCTCCTGGCATTGACAGCCCACAGCCCACCCCCCCCCATCCCACCTCCCCTTCCCTCGACCCCCCTCCCTCGACCGCCCTCCCTCTGCCCCCCTCCCTCGACCCTCTCGACTCGACCCCCCCCCCCTCCTCGACCCCCCCCCTCCTCGACCCCCCCCCCCCCTGAAACCCCTGATCCCGACATATTGTCCGGTCCATGTCTTCCTTGACATGACCCACAGAGAGCTCGAGCTAGCTCTCTTTGCCTCTCTCTCTCTCTCTCTCTGGGTTCGGGTTCGGGGGCTCCTCTCTTCTTTTGCAGAATCATGCTTCTGCAAAATGCATTCGGGCACCCGGCCAGCCTGGATATTCAAATTGCAAGGTCGGCCAGCATCTGCTGCAAATTGGCTTTCTTGGACCATCCAATGTCCTGTGCACAGGGTGCACAAAAAAAGCCGTGAACCCGTGAAACCCGTGAAGCCCCGAAACCCGTGAAACCGTGAAACCCGTGAAACCCGTGAAACCCGTGAAACCCGTGAAACCCGTGAAACCCGTGAAACCCGTGAAACCCGTGAAACCGTGAAACCCGTGAAATTTAACCCGTGAAACCCGTGAATTAACCCGTGAAAGCCCGTATTAAAGCCCGTGAAACCCGTGAAACCTGTGAAGGCGTGAAATTATAACACGAGGAAACAGACCCGTGAAATCCGTGAACCCTTAAGCCCCTTTATAAATATATATTTCTCAATACATTTAAACATCATATATATATATATATATAACGGTCCAGGCATGCATAAAACCCATGCATGCACTCTAGATATATGTACACACACACACAAATATATCTACACAGCCCAGGCAATTAAAGAATCGATTGAAACTGTGCAATCAACACAGGAGCCCTTTCGAATTATAGGGTTTAGGTCATAGGTTTAATTCGGGTTTAGGGCTTCGGGTTTGTGATCGATCTGCAAAACGCACGCATGAACTCATCATCTCAGCGGCATGCGCCGGCAACATGTGTAACATTCGCGCGCCAATCGCAGGGAATATGTTGTGAATGCATGGGGAAATGCTTCGGGACTAAGTTACATGCACGGGCCATACATGCATAGGTTTGCAACCAATGGAAACCTATTATGACCCTTTTATTTATACCCTGGGAACCATGCAGCTCAATCCAGGATCGCGATCCGGGCATGCATGCTCGAATGGCTAATCAGACTCCCGCGGACTTATAAACGACATGCTGTGTTCATGATCGCGGAACCGGACTTGAACGGCATGCTGTGAACATGATCGCGGACTTAAACGGCATGCTGTATACATGAGAACGCACGGCTGCATATTCCTCGATGGATCCATCGATATACAGATTCGCGGTCACACATGCTCAGCTGCATGCTCTCGTTCGAACTTTCATTTTCAGGGTAGGGCATTAACAGTGGGTAGCAGGCGTGCTACAAGAGTGCGTAGTCATGTCTTCAGGGCAGAATGCAGCATACAATGCGCCAATAGTATGTTCTCGGAGCCCGGTCGTTTTGGGAGTCCCGGTCTGCGATGCCATTGTCATGCAATGATGGTATGTTGCCTTCACTCCAGCTTTGTTTTCGAACCCGGGACAGGGTTTAGGGCTTAGGGCTTAGGGCTTAGGGCTTAGGGCTTAGGGCTTAGGGCTTAGGGCTTCGGGCTTAGGGCTTAGGGCTTAGGGCTTAGGGCTTAGGGCTTAGGGTTAAAGGTTTAGGGCTTAGAAGGTCTAGGGTTGAGGGTTTCGGGTTTAGGGCTTAGGGTTTGGGGTTAGGGTTTCGGGTTTAGGGTTTAGGGTTTAGGGCTTAGGGTTTAGGGTTTAGGGTTTAGGGTTAGGATCCATCCTCTCCACACTTCAACAAAAGCGCCAGTGAACCCCTCAAGCTCTCGACCCTGGAGCTGCGCTTGCAAACTTTCAATTCCTGAGCACCCGAGTTAACACTAACATTTACCACTCTGGACCCTACGGACACCATGTAGTATTTACAAGCATGCCCTCTGTCCTTCATCTCTGCCAGCGGGGTCTTGCGACTCAGCAGATCAGTCCTCGCAGCACACATGCAAAACCGGGTTTAGGGTTTAGGGTTTAGGGTTTAGGGTTTAGGGTTTAGGGTTTAGGGTTTAGGGTTTAGGGCTTAGGGTTTAGGGTTTAGGGTTTCGGGTTTCGGGTTTGGGGTTTGGGGTTTGGGGTTTGGGGTTTGGGGTTTGGGGTTTTGGGGTTTTGGGGTTTTGGGGTTTTGGGGTTTTGGGGTTTTGGGGTTAGGGTTTAGGGTTTAGGGTTTGGGGTTTCGGGAGTATTGTTGCGCGTGCTCCCCCTGCTTCCTGGCAGTATACTTCAGAGCCTTTCGGGTTTGGGGTTTAGGGGTCTTAGGTTTTTAGGGGAAGCCCTGCGCCCCATGGCGTCCTTCCATTGTCCATGGCCCTTTCCACGTCGTCCTGCCACGCGCGCAATAATTCTGTTCGCACATCATATATACAGAATGATCAGCACACGGTTGGAAGAACAAGGCTTGCCTGATGTCCAACCACCAGTTCGGCCACTGCGCGTCCAAATAGCGCAGGATAATGTTGACTTTCTTTCAAATCGGGGCCTCCATGTACTTGTACTCGTCCAGATGCATCTTTTGACCTGAATTTGCACAAGCGTGCAAACATGCACTGCCTATTTACAAATACGAACGCACACGCTTCCATGCTTACACAGTGTGTTTCAGGTCCTCGAGGCCATATCCGCATCCCAATCGATACCCGCAGGCAAGGGCAGGAACAATTTTTCGATGAACTTGTAGTTGGAGTAAAGGAGTGTCGGCTTGGGACCTCCGGTTGTTTCCGGTGCAATGACATGTGTGCAAAGTCCATGCCACACACTGTACTATATGTGCAAATTGATTGAGGGTCTGGCTGCCCCCTCCGTAACTCCCTAGCCAAACGAAGACCTTCGAACAGCATCGATCCATGGGTCCACACATGCATACACTCGCACCATGCATGTTTAGAACAGCCTTGAAGATCTTGAACTTCTTGGCCACGGCTTGAAAAGGCATGGAATATTCCAGCAAGGAGCTCGAGGGTTGTTCTAAACACCAGGGCACACAGAGTGTGCAGAGGATCATCAGCTGGAGGCATACCCGAGCCACCATTGTGTTCCTTATTGCCGGGCACAAGGAGCACATGCTAACACAACATCCTTCATGCTGCTTCGAACATGCATTCCAAAGCATGCAAGAGCTGCTGGTTTCGTTTTTGTCCGATGCGAAGAACATAGCTGCATGAAACTTCGCGCTTCACTCCCCTTGAAGCAGACCGCGCATCGATTCAAAGGTCCTTCCGTTCCTGCCCTCAATTGATCGAGATAGTTTTGAATAGCTGTGTCAGACTTCAGGCAAGCCCGGGAACAAACACCCGCAAGACCGGTGCATCGTTTTAAACCAGCACCAGCACCTATGACATTTACAGACCAATGATGCTCCTCACTGACTCCCAGGCCTGGTGCACATCCTCCTGGAAGCTGACCCTTAGCACAAGCACCGATTCTCCATGTTCCAAAAACTCTCCATGTTCCAAAGATGCAGACAGCGACAACGTAGCCAATGAGTGCAATCGAGCTGCGACCTGGTGCTGATCGAAGTCCCATCGGCCTTCTTCTTGGCCTTGAAGGCCCGCTGGCGGAGGAGAACCTCCACCACCGCAGACGTGTTGTCGATCCTCGGCTGGCAGCGGCATGATTATAATGTGTTGCGCACGCACACGTGCACGAACAACACAGCCTAGAGCGCTCAGGCTAGGCACTGCCTGGTAAAGGAATGTTTTCCGTGCTTGGTGGAAACCGGAAAGAGCTCAGGGGGCAAGACGATCAAGACCTCGCGATACTCCTCCTCGAAGCTGTCCATGATTTCCTTCTCATCACTGCAAGAGGCTGCACCAGTCGAAGTCCTGCGATTCCAGGTCCAAGCAGCAAAAAAACAAAGAAACGCGCAAACAAAACAAGTCTCCTGTCTCCCTTCTTGTCGCTCTTGTGCATAGACTTTCGGCTTCCACCCTTCTTCGGCTTCTCTCCTGCACATATCATACATTCGCACAAAGATTTCACACGGACACACATATATATATATATATATATGTAGATATATATATATATATATATATATATTTCTTTATTTCTTTGTTTATTTTTTGATTTATTTTTTCTTTACACAGACATATACATATGTATATGTGATGATGATGATGATGATGATGAAGATGATGATGATCCGGGCCGCCTTTGGGTTTGGCCAACATGTGCACGGGCTCAGGAGGGTCACTCTTCATGGCAGCCATGCGAGCATCGAAACCCTCGGGTGCCTTGGCTGTTATTTGACAAAAAAGAAAATTGTTCATGTTCCTGCTGCTCCATGCGTGTGCCGGCCCCCCACCCCTGATAATTCTTTCAAGTCACTTCCGGCTGCGTGGCACGTGCCTTGCTGGCGCGCTTCGGAACGTGCGGATCCTCGACGGCTGAGTCATCAGCTCTGTCGTTCCCGGATCCGTCGTCCTTGGGCCTCACCGTCTCGGAGCGTGGCTTCGGTTCCTTCACATCGGTCTTCGTCTTGTGCTCGCCACCCATCGTGCTGCTGGCACCCTCTGCCTTCGAGATCTTCCGGCGCTGGTGCTTGGAGTCGTCCTCGGAGCTCTCCGTCTCCGAGCTGACCAAGTCTGCCTTCGAGATCTTCCGGAGCTGGTGCTTGGAGTCGTCCTCGGAGCCCTCCGCCTTCGAGCGTGGCTTCGGCTCCTTCACATCGGTCTTCGTCTTGCGCTTGCCACCCTTCGTGCTGCTGGCACCCTCACTGACCAAGTCTGCCTTCGAGATCTTGTGGAGCTGGCACTTGGAGTCGTCCTCGGAGCTCTCCGTCTCCGATGGCTTCGGCTCCTTCACATCGGTCTTCGTCTTGTGCTTGCCACCCTTCGTGCTGCTGCCCCCCTCACTGACCAAGTCTGCCTTCGAGATCTTGTGGAGCTGGCGCTTGGAGTCGTCCTCGGAGCTCTCCGTCTCCGATCCTTCACATCGTGCTTGCCACCCTTCGTGCTGCTGCCCCCCTCACTGACCAAGTCTGCCTTCGAGATCTTGTGGAGCTGGTGCTTGGTGTCGTCGTCGTCGGAGCTCTCCATCTCCAAGTCTGGCCTCGACTCGAGGGCCTTCCTCTTGCGCTTGCTTCCGCCCATCTTGTCTGGCTTCGGCACCCGGAGCTTGGCCTCGCGCTCACTGTAGTCGTCCTCGCAGCTCTCCGTGTCCTTGCTGCGTCTGCTTGCAACCTTCGTGTCCTGGGCCGCCTTGCTGCGCAAACTCTCAGACTCCGAGCCGGCCTTCTTGTCTTTAACCCTCACCTCCTTCTTGCGCCGGCTTTCGCGCTTCTTGCTTGCCGCCACATTGCCTTTCTTGGGCTTCTCGTAGGCGTAGTTGTCCTCGGAGCTCTGCGTGTCCAAGTGTCGTTTCTCCTTCTTGCTCCGCTTGGCGCGCTTCGTGGCAACCTTGTCGCTCTCGTCCTCCGAACTTGTAGTTCTGCAGTTGCTGGCTTTGGCAGACTTGGAACTGCAGGCAGCTGAAGCCGAAATTTTCCTGGGGTGTTTCGTCTTGTCCGGCTCGCCCAGGATCAACGTCTCCGACTCAGAATCGGACAGGCGGGCCTCGACAGGGCTAATTTGTGTTAAGTTGTTTTACTGCTCTCTATGAGATGAAACCAAATTCCCTTCACCTCTGGCCTTTGACTTCTTTTTCAGCGTCTTCTTGTCATGCTCGGGCAGGTCGTTGGGGCTGGGGAAGGAAGCTTCCTCGAACATCTTTTCGATATCGATGTCTTCCAGCTCTGGCGCTGCCTTAAATTCCTCTTCTGGGTACACTCGGGCCAGTTCGGCGTCAAGGGCGTCCTTGTCAAAGGCGTCCTCGTCTGACTCCAGCACCGGGCCTTCGAACATAACGGGGGTGACGTGGCCCGTCGGGCTGTCGAACAGCTCTGCAGCCTCCAAGTCATCACAGCCATCCTTGGATTTCTTGATTTGTTTGGGTCTGCGTTTCCTAGAAGCTGTACCACCATTCTATGCGGACAAGGTACATCCAGCTGGGGCGTGTCGTCCTTTGGCCAGAAGCTGTCGCTGACATCACTGTCTTCACCAGTCACGACTTCAGCTAGCTCCATCTGCGCAGAAGGACAGAGAGAGAGACAGAGAGAGAGAGAGAGAGAGAGAGAGAGAGAGAGAGAGAGAGAGAGAGAGAGAGAGAGAGAGAGAGAGAGAGAGAGAGAGAGAAATAGAAAGAGAAAGAAGGACACGGAAACAGAAAGATAAAAAAAGAGAGAGAAAGAGAGAGACAGACAGAGAGAAAGAGAAACAGAAAGAGAGAAGGAGAAAGGAAAGAGAGAGAGAGAGAGAGAGAGAGAGCGGAGAGAGAAAGAAACAAAGAAAAAGAGAAAGAGAGAGAGGGACACAGAGCAAAAGAAATAGAGAGAGAGAAAGAGCGGAGAGAGAGATAAAGAGAGAAAGAAAGAGAAAGAGAGAGGGAGAGAGAGAGAGAGAGAGAGAGAAAGAGAGAGAGAGAGAGAGAGAGAGAGAGAGAGAAAGAGAGAGAGAGAGAGAGAAGAGAGAGAGAGAGAGAGAAAGAGAGAGAGAGAGAGAGAAAGAAAGAGAAAGGGAGAGAGAAAGAGAGAGAGTGAGAGAAAGAAAGAGAGAGAGAGAGAGAGAATGAATTTTAAAAAAAGAGCAAGAATGAAAGAGACGAATAAAGAAATAAATACAGAAATACAGACAGAAAGAAATAAAGAGAAAGAGAGAGAAGCAGAAACACAGAGATGGAAAGAGACAAAGATCGATCGAGAGAGGCAGATATATAGAGGGGGGTGGGGCCAGTGATTACTGTCTTTCGAGACACGAAGCACACACAGCATGCAGGCCTACCGGCCTCAACTTTGTTAGCAATGTCGCGGCGGAGCCTCGGATTTACCTTCATGTGATTCTTCAGCGTTTGCACCTCGTCGGACTTGCTGCCGTAGGGGCTGTTTTGCCACAGCCTGCAGGGGATATATGATATGTGGTGAACCCAACACTGATGCTCATGGTGCAGGCTCGACCAATTAAAAAGGCCTTCGAAGCGTGGACCAAAGCTTCTGCACCTTCACCACATTCCGTCTCATATCGTTCGGGGTCCGGAAAACCAGGCGCTTGCACTTCTCATTGAATGCTTCCAGCATCACTTCCAACTCCGGTTTGGTGGGGCACCGAACCGTGAAGGCTTCATGCCGAAGTAGGACTGCCAAGACCCAGCTATTTGCAATCCTGAGATCGATCGAGGGATTCATATGCATGTTGAAGTACAGCATGCACATGACCGGCCATGCCCATTCACACGAACCTCACTCCTTGCATGCATGCCAAGCAGCACATCGTCCTCACCAAGTGTTTCCGTGAAGTCGCCCACAAAGAGTTGCTGTGTGGGAGTCTCATCCACTGGAACAATCGCTGCATCCTGTCCCAGGCATGATACAAATATACATACACACATGGGCGCACAGACACACACACATGCGCACACTTCGTTTGGACGCTCGGTCCTGAAGATCCGGAGGGATAGCCATGTAGAGGAATTCCCCCATGTGCTGCAACTTCATGACATGTGACACTTCGTCGTTTGTGACATCACCATGCTCATCGGCCATGGCTTGCAAAGCGATTTGAGGCAGCTATGCAGCCCAGAAAATCAACCAAGAATACTGCAGCAAACTTAAAAGCATGCACTCAGAAGAACACAAAACTTGCAGCGAACATAAAACATGCGGCATGGACTCTGTGCTGCCGCTTGCAGGCCGAGCTTCCCATCTTTGACCACCTGAATAGCGGTGTTGCCTTCCGGTGTTGTGGGCGACCGCCCGGTGCTTCCCCTGGCATGCAGATGACTGGTCTGCAATGTAGCTATGTAGATATATGAAGAACCGATCCCGGATCCCTGACCTCGACAACCATACCCAGCTCGAACAGACGGGGGCGTACCAAGCGGAAGCCATTCTGCCACATCATGCAGGAGACATGTGCATGTGCTTTGCCAGCTGTACATAACCTTAAGCTGCCAAGACTCTTTCCAGTACAAGCGCAAAGCCAGGGATAGGGAATAAGCGAAGCCAAGACCACTTAGAATATCTTGGTCCTTGCCATCCTTCAGCTCGAAGGTTGCAGCCTGCAGTCCAAGGTACCTCAGAATCAGACGGTTTAGGGTTTAGGGTTTAGGGTTTAGGGTCTAGGGTTTAAAGTTTAGGGTTTAAAGATTAGGGTTTAGGGTTTAGGGTTCAGGGTTTAGGGCCCTAAACCCTAAACACAAGCCCAGGATGCGAATCCGAAAGTGTCTAAGTGCGGTCAAAACACATAAAGCCATTTGCAATCGTCTTGATTCCAGCAAATACTTCCATACAATCGATGTCCTTGCAGGCTCAGAATTCAATGCGGTATCTACCAAGTCAAGAGACAAAAAAATCCTTGGGTGCAGTTTTTATGCAGGAAAGGCTCAAGCCTGCATCGAGTCATGTTTTGCATGACCTGGGCGGTGCAAGCCAGCACGGCATATGGAAGACCGGCCATGTAGAGCATCTGCAGCCTCAGATGAAGTTTGGGATACCTAGTATGCTAGGAAAAAATTGTCTCATGTGCTCGATGCAATGGAATAACTGTGTGTTTCAGACCACGGGGCATCTGACTCCATTTTGTAGGCAGCAACCCTTTCTCAAGGAAACTGCACTTCTTGGAGGCCTTGCGCCTTGATCTCTCCGAAGTACTGCTAGATGGCTTCTCTGGCTTCGAAGTACTGCTTCGAGATGGCTTGTTTGGCTTGTCTGGCTTCGGGCCAGTGCTTGGAGACCGCTTGCGTGTTGTTCGCTTTGGAGTAGTGTTCGCAGTCCCTTTCCCCATGGCTGGCAGGCTGACCCTTCTTCAGCTATGTATTCTAGTTCAGAAAGATGCTAGGACCTTTACCTGTCGATCGTTCGAGGCAGACCAGACAAGCTAGGTAGTCGACCCCAAAAGCATGCAGCTAGATCAATCTACCAGCTCTGATGTCCAAGCTTGCACGTGCTGGCCGAGCCTGCAATCGATATGAAAGTTTCACATGCGGTGCCAGCTCGTGTGATCTTTGAATGCATGCATTCAAAGCTGCAGCATATGTAACACATCACACTGTTGCAGGGGAGGGAGGCGCCTGTTCTTCTCTGCGTCCAGTAGAAGCAGATCCATCCACCGGGCCGCGGCTGCCCCATGAGGGTTCTATAGTTAGACTTATAGGGCCCCTTATAAGCCCTATGGGTCGTGACACACAGAAGCCTCGAGCTGGCCCCGGCACTAGGGTTATCAAAAGGGTTCGAGGTAGGCTGGAGCTGGCCAAGCTAGGGTTTCGGTTGAATGGCCTTTTGGCATCTTCATTTCAAGGGTTTAGGTTTGCAAGGGTTTAGGGTTTAGGGCTATATAGGGTTGATAGGGTTTTAGGGTTTTTGGGGTTTAGGGTTTATACAGTATAGGATCCAGGGTTCAGGGTTATAAGGGTTTAGGGTTTAAGGGACTATATGGCCAGACTGGGCAAATCGAGGCGCTTGCCTTGATCGAGCGGTAGCAACATGGATCCTGGAATTAACAGGGTTAAGGTTCGGGGTGTGCCTGGTTTTCTTGTTCGGACTGGAAAGGAATACGGATTTGTAAGCATACGGTGCTTTTCCAAGACGGTTCAATATGTGTACGACCTTCTATTTCCAGTCTTTCCGGGTTGAAGTTGAGGGGGGTCGGTTTGGCTAACTTGTCGCAAAACCCCAACCCAGGAACCTTGCAGCCTCCAGATTATCCCTCGCCAAGCCGAACCGGAACCCGAACTCCCTATAAGTATAAAGTGCATGTAAGTTACCCAACCCTAATTTATTGTCAGGAACCCGAAGTTAGTTTATTTGGTCCGCCCTGCCCCCCCCCCCCCCGGCCCCACCCTATCCTGCTTTTCAAAATCGCGATGTCACTGAACAAAAGATGTACCCGTGACATCCATATATATATCTATATATTTTCTTTTTGTGTTGGCTCAAGCTCCTGCACATCGATGCGTGCAAGCCACTGCATCGACTGAGTGTTGCTGCCAAATTTGTGTTGAGCCAGCACTATTGTGATGTACCAATTCTGCGACAGCTTCATTTGCCTTTCGCGAGTGCGCGAGCCCGCGAAGGTGCCATTTGCGCGCGAAAGCTTCATACGGCTACACGAATGTGTTCTGCACGCGAAAGCTTGCAAACCAAGCCTTCGGGCTGTCTAGGGAGCCATCACCAACATCTTCACCGACCCAGATGTCTTCAAGACATCGCTCGCGCCGCCACTTTCACACCACTGCCACATTTACGAGCAAGTCCGACAACAGCTGCCGGATTACCAGTAGGCCTTCAAGCAGTGGGGTCGCATACCTCAAGCCTACATCCTCCCAAAAGCCAAAAAACAGTTTCAAAAAGGACGTCCCATCGTGGCATTCACTCAGGCCATGGGACGGGATCTTTGGGAGGCACTCAGCGATGTGCTGCAGTTGATGACAAATCAGGCATGCCCTGACGCACTCCGTCAAGGAGATGCCATCACCCAGCTCAGGCAGGTAGCCGCATGTCTACGTACCAGACAGCAACAGCAAGACCACAACCAGTACGTTCGACAGCAGACGCAACCAGAGCCAGCGCAGCAAACGCAGCATTCTGCGATTCAACGACATTCCTCGACTCATCGAGGTAGTTCTACAATTGAACTACTTTACAGTAGGTCATACGCTGTTTTTTCAGTGTAGAGGCGCTCCTATGGGCTCTGGCAGTTGTGGAGCAATGCTGGGTCAAGTCGCTTCGCAGCATGTTTGTGAACCACAAACATTTTCATCAGCCAACAAGCGATCTTCTTTGCCACCAGATATGTAGACAACAGGGTGCTGCTCCTTCCACAGCAGTACATTTCGCTCCCGCCGTTCAGGGAGTTCATCGACCCAGATTTCTACCAACCTCCTGTCAAACTTGACACGGAGCCAGCAAACATCTTTTTAGGTTTTGCCACACACACCAAAGTTCATAGGTGAATGGGGTCACTCCCAGCTTGTCGAATTTTGCTTTTGCTTTCACAATGCAGCAGGGGCATGGAGCGCTCTATGGCTACCATCATGAGGGGGTCCGGACGTGCCCGCTCAGCCATTTGGGTCTTCGCGCGAAGTGTCCGCTCAAGCTGCTTTTCGGCTGACACTGCTGGGTCATATGTTGCGTGCATCCGCAGCACTGCCTTCAGCATTGGTGCAACAGCAATGATCTCTGCGTCAGACAGTCTAATCACAACCTCAAGGATGATGCGGGCAGCGCTTGAACGGCCCATGCCAATGCTATGGACCAAGTACCAAGGGACGGATTCTGGCTTGGCTTAAACACTGGTCCTGGTTCTTTGGTTGCCACCTGTTTTGCGCAGAACCATGCTTTGAGGACCCATAATGGTCCAATTAGCCTTCGCCAAGGCCCAACAGTTGGTCCTTGGTCTTTGGTCAGTCCAAGCAGAGCTTTGGACGCTGACTCTAGACAGATTCAAATTGCACCGGGGAAACAGTGCGAAAAGTCGTGCTCAATTTGCTAGCCAAGCTCACGTGTGCTGCACCATGCCTGATTGAAACTCACCATTTGTCAATCCAGATTTTGGGTCACAGGGAGACTTGGTCCTGCCTGCTTTGCCATGAAGGGACCAATTACGATGATTCTGTGCACTTGGTCTCTCTTCGGAGCATTTCCAGCTCGACCTGGATGGGATACCTTGCAGACAGCCTTTCATTCAATCCCTCCTTCATTGTCACACACACTGATGCTGCCACTGCTAGATGCGTTGCTTGATCAAGAAGATCAACTTCGATTTGGGCCCTCGGTCAAATCGGTCATCTATACACACGCCCAGGTCATGGAAGCAGCTCGCATCAACCTCATTAAATTGGTGCTGTTCCTGGAAGAGGAGGTGAAAGTGCAGAACTACATGAATGATTGGCGTCGGAGAGGAGAGAAGTTGCTGAGCTCTCCTACTTGAGCCAGGTCAGTGGTGGAAAAGCAAATCTCCATACATTGGCGATGGTCTATCGTGAAATGGCGGATTTTCTTGATGTACTAAACCCGCCTGAGTCTGATGGGAATGAGGCTGCAGCAGGTGTGAATGCTACCATGACTGTTTCATCGATCCGTGAGTCTTGGTCTGAGCTGTAACCTTGACACATGACTGCAGTCCAGGCTGCCAGAGGCAGCTTGTTCAGTCCTGGGCCAAGTGCCACAGAGTTGCAGTATATTTGCAATGGCAGTCCTCAGTCCTGGGTCCTAGGTCACAGAAAACCTTACAGGAATAATACTATCACTCATAGTACTACAAAAAAAACGCAACGGTGACAGGCAACTGTGGGCCGTGCTGGTGTGGTGAATTGATGCAGCTGAGCTGCGGATGAAGTATGATTGACAGCCTTGGCAATTCCTTCTGCCAGGTGTCTCTTGATGGGTTCTGGTGCGCTACAGATCACTTGCCCTGAACCTCTTTTTAGGAGGAGTTGGGTGTCTCGGAACGAACGAAGACTTTTCTTGTCTTTGAGTCAGCTGGTAAGCTAGCGGCATGGATTGAGATGTTGAAGTCTTGACGCATGAGTTTCAGCTCAGGGGACCTTTGGTATGCTGCTGCATATGCTGCATCGTGATTTGTCGCTTCGGCCAGGAACTTTCTGGATCAATGATGTTCAGTTGGCAAGCGATAAGTGCGTGCATGGATTGAACCTCTCAGGCTGCATCAAGTGCTGGCGCCCGATTGCTGGCAAGGTCAAGTTGACTGATACAAAAGGCTCTTCGCACGAGTCTTGCCTACTAAATGAGCCTGGATGTCTGCGCATCAGAGGCATTGGAAAGCCGCATGCCATGCAGCAAGGAGTGGGGATTTCAGCCGCCCTCACACGGGTGAATCGAACGCCCGCCAGCATGTCTGCAAGATCTGGCGCAGGCCTCGGGTGAGACCAGGTGCGCTGGCCAGGCCACGTCGAGGCACGTCTAGGCACGTTCGGCTTCTAGCTGTAGTGCTTTGGGCCAACAGCTGCGGCATTGGCGCAGGTTCGTCTTTTGCCGAACAAGGGCCCGAGAATACTCAATGCGTAAAGTGAGATTCGTCAGAGGCGTCATGGCTTCCTTGGAAACACGGCTCCGAGTGGAGCGCCTTTTGTGCGGGTTTGGTCGAGCAGGATGACAGTCGAAGGCTGTCAGGAATGCAGTAACATACCTGAGGTTGCCTGTAGCATTTGTGCGGCCTAGATCAATTTGCAGCCGTTTGCAGCAGATTCGGCGCTGTTGTAACGGTGGACGCCGCAGTGTTGGCTGTTGAGACAGAGTTGCTTCGGTCGGCTTCCCAGTGCCGTGAGGCG